TCTCACGACTCATGGTTTGATGAATCGAAGACACTATCGCTGACGGCATCATCGTCGCGAACTGTCGACTCCGTTATTTCGGAATTAATTGAAAGCAATGGCTTTCTAACGGTGCTGCAAACCATGGGATCAAAGCTCGTGATAGAGCTGAACTGGCTCATGGCCCCAACGGAGACCAATCTTTCATTGGCCGAATTTAAATTTCTGAGACAAAAGCAAACAAGAAAATTAAATTTGAAAATTCATCGGACAAAACGTGCAGAATTTACCCAGCAGCTGGTTGGTCATTTTCTTTGGTTTCATTCTGAAAAGAAAGAAACAATAAATCGAAACATGGCTCGTATTCAAAATAAAAATTACACAAATTCCAAAATGTTATCTGCACGAAAAAAAAAAAAACGTGATGCTTACATCATTGTCGATCTCAGACTCGAATCCTGAAATTTGGGCAACCATCGAATCCTGGTTATTCGTCGAAGTACGATTTTCGGTGGAAATCGACGATTCACCCGGATACATGTCCTTGGGTGCGAATGAAAGGACCACTTCACATCGCTTCATGAACCGCTGCAAGTCTCTGGAAAATTGCTTGTTCTGCTCCCACTCCTTCATCTTCGAAATACCGACAATCAATTTAATGAGTTTAAAAACAAGACCTGGTCAGTTGAGCGTACAAAAAAAAATTGGATAACATCCACGCAAACCTTTTCTTGAGAATCACACACGAGACTATGCATTTATTGTATTAATCAATAGTCCTCACAGAATTTTCAGAAAAAGTCGTCTCGAAAAATATACAGCAATTTTCAGCGTCTTTGATTTGATGACACATTATGTAATTCATATTTTTCTAAAGCTTTTCTGCGCTTGCGTTATTCATGATCAGCAGCAAGTTTTTCATGGCACTTAATTCGGGTTGACCAGCATCAAATTTTGTTACGGAACACCCGAATGAAGCTGTTCTAATGATTTGGAATTTCAAAATTTATGTCAACCTTGAGAAACCGAAGAAAATTTCGAAGGTTATTGCATCAAGAAAAAAACACATCAGGAAAACTAAAACGGGAAAATCCGCATTATTTCAAACTTGGATAGCTGAGAAGATAATGTAGGAAAAAATAGAAGGCTCCGCATTTTTAAATTCGCTTGCTTCACACCAAATCAAAAACTTCACGGAATCCTCTCGACCCATTGGATCCCTTCAAGTGAAGTCTGAAGCTTATTTCACCATATTCACATTAACATGATAAAATAAAAAAAGACTACAGTATTACTCAAATACCACGCGCATCCAGGTTTTCCATTCTAAAATTGTGATTAAATTGTAGACCCAAGTAACTCGCGCATTCCACTTTCTGGTGACTCTAAAACGGCAACATTTCAAAAACAAGAACAATAAAATTTGAATTTAGAAATAAATTGGACCCGAATTTCACAAATTTAGAATTGTTGCCACGAAAATAAGTTTTTCTGATAAAATTTGTTCAAACTTTCCATTAGAATCAAGTATAATGCAGACGTAAACTTCTAAAAATTTCTGGAAAATGTATGCCCTTTTTTCCTCTCAATTTTGAGAGAAAAATAGGTACGCGTGATACTCAAGCAAAAACGCTATTTTCTTAAAACTCAACATCAATTTCGTGGACACTCAGTAAACTGATATGATACAGAAGATGAAATCATTTTAAACCTGGATAACAACGGCAGTGGACGCCTTTAGACTTCGGACAGCGACGAATTTATCTCTCGGCGGACAAAGCCAGCCAATCATTCTCCCAAACGTCATCCACAGCACGACGGCAGTGTCGGTCCGATCCGTAAGATGCGTCAACAATTCCTTTCGATTTGCGTAGAGCCGGGCAAACAGGAGTAGGCTCCTAAAGGACCGCAGCTTTATAACGTGTTCAAGGTGTTATAGACGCGGGTGCAACAGACGTTAACACCGTAGTTGAAGGAGCAGAGCAATCTCCTGAGCAAGAATTATGAGAGCCCGCATGAAGGCGGATACCAACGTCTCGGGGTCGTCGACGAAGAAGCAGTACATCTTGAAAAAGGTAATGATTGACTGACGCACTTTTGAGCTTGAATCATCTGAGAAAAAAAATATCCACTTCAACTTATTATCATAACAAACAACAAAATTCGAACACCATCACAATCGTTACAGTTTCGCACGTCACAAAGGTGCGTCTAGATATAATTTTTTATTTATTTTAGGCTTGGCATTTTTGTATTAAACCATTTTAAAAATTGACATGACCATTTACAAGCAGGTTCAATAGCCTTGTTTGGTTTATATTTTTTACGGATCGAGCAAATAATGTTACTCGAAGATTTGAATCGCTTTGCACACAACTTGAAAAGGTGGTCGAATCAAATTTTTGAAGAATTTTCATAGAAACAATTGGAACAGAGATTGAGCGAGTGTATGTTCTTGTATTGAATGAGTTTAGCATTTTACTTAATGCTGATCAGGAGCCGAGAAAATTCACAAATCTTACAAAAATGCTTTCATCCAGGAATTAAATTAGTTAAAATTGTTACCATACTTCTAATATTTATATTTGATACTTCACTCAAGTAAGTAATGACATTAGTCTTAAAAAAGGCCTGAACCGCGCCTGTGGTCTTTGGGAGTTTTTCATAAAAGACCCTTCGTCTTGCTGACATTTTTTTTGAAACATTGGAAGAAAAACAAGAGGTAACTTGCCAAAACGGTAAACGTGATTTGCCAAGAACAGATCAGAGATAACGGTCGAGCATCGCCAACGAGGATCCAACATCATCTTCCCGAGTCCATCAGCGGTAATGATTCTAAGTTCTTCTTCCTAAAAAGCAAACAATGATTTTCCGAATTGCTTCTACAGAAATAGGAATTTTCAAAATTGGTGAGGATCGCACAAAAACACTTCACATAGACGGCGATGTTCGCGTACCGCCTAATTTTTCCCCGAACTGGTACGAATAATACTGTACAGTAAAATCTCATCAGAACACACTTTTGGGAACTTCAGATAATTTTGAAATACAGTATGCAATAATTTGTTATACCGTCATTTTCGAAATTAATGACTAAAGAATGTTTCACATAAGACCTGCCAATAATAAATTAGATCTTATACAGTATTTCTGGAATTCTCAGATCTTTTACTGTTGTCTGAACAACTTTCTGCCAGGACTTAATTTGCTCTAACGACATTATACTGTACTTGTTTCGAACGCCTCGTTACGAGTAGGATCTCATAACAACGAACAAATGTTAACCAAAAAGAAAAATAGGTCTCTTCGAGTCTCAAAACACCCTGTACTCTGATAATATCACGAGGACGTAGAAAAATGTCGCTGTTGACAACAATTAAAAGTATGAAAAAAATACACCGCATTGTACGAGAACGAAATTCGTTCTAACGAGACTCGATAGGCATCCGGGCTTCAACAAAAATGCCTTTTTTCCTTAAAACATGAGACATTTACGAAAAAAAAAGAAAGAAAAAATCCCTGATATCCCGGCACCATGAGTGGTAAGCGTACCACGGTTTTAAAATCATCGCATGAAGACACAGAGCAAAAAAATAAGTACCGCACAATTTTTGCATACCTCGCGGTCAAGAAGTGACGTAAGTTTGCGTTCGATGCGCTCTTTCCCAGGAAGACCAGCCAAACTTGTGTTATTTGATGAATCCAATCGACTTGCACTCACCACTGAGCAAATTAGGTCTTGCTTATTGACCAATGCCGGGCCCCATCTAAGAAAATAATTGAAACAAAGGACTCACACCACAATTCTCGTTTTCTGAAACGGCGCGAGGTGCAAATGTCACAAAAATGAAGGTTGAATGTAGGAAAGCACAGAAGAATATGAGATTAAAATTTTTAAAATACTGCATTCAGAAAAACATTCAAAAAGCACGCCGAAATAAGAATAAGATTAAAATCTCGTTTCATTGACGAAGTCGAAATACTGTTCAAACCGAACTCGAAGACCCGAGTTTTTGTTCTCGTGCCAAAAAATTCAGTTCCTTCGGTTCAACAAAAGTACTGATTATTAAAAATGTATTTTTTCCATTATTCCAGTCCGACTTCTTCCTAGATTTTCCCAGCTTATTCTGCTAATTCGTAAGATTAAAAAAATCCAGTTGCTTATAAAACAAGTTCTTCTCGTTTATGCCATTAATGATTTGAATTTCCTTTTACACACGAAATTCAATCTGCCGACAAAATCACATTTTTGACATCGTATTTCATCAGATTAAATTCGTTATCAGGAAATAACTACCGTGCATGAAATTAAGAAAAGTGACAAGAAAAAAGACTGCATTTTTGTCAACAAGCAAATTGGGTTCAACCCTTTTGTTATTTGTATATCCTCTGATTTTCTCGAATGAAAATCCCAGGAATTAATTGCCATTTATTCAAAGGTTTGTGGGAAGTTTGTTTGCGATTTATTCATTTCCACAAGGCTCTAAAACTGAATGATCCCCTTTTGAAAGTTTCAAATTCATTACAGTCCATATCTGTAACTTCTTGTTTGAGTCGAAACTTCCTTAAAGCTTTTCCAGCTCGTACTAAAACATTAAGGTAAAAAACAATCTAAGACTAACCGAGCACGGTGGAGCTTTTAACACCCCTTACCTGACGGGGACAGATCCGGCCCATGGGCCATATGTTGTGCAGCACTGCAGCTTATGGCAGTGTCACCCAACCTTTTTGGGCCTGCGGACTGGCAAATTTCCCGCAGACTGGCAAATTTCCATGAAATGTTTTGCAAACCAGCGGTTTTCCAAAACAATTTTCTGCAGACTTGAAAATTTTTGTTTGAAAGACTTATTAAAAGAGCAGGGATTTAAAAATTTTTGACTGTCATTAAAAAATTGAGTCAAGAAACAATTAATTAGCTACTACAGTATATTGGAATGTCTTCAAAAATTTAGAAAGGTGGGCTTGAAAAGAGGTTTCTCAGAATGAAAAAATATACTAATTCATTTCAGCGCGTGAAAATTTGTCTGAAGGGTTATTGGTAGAAAAAGACAACTTTTTTTGCATCAGATAATTTTAAATGCCATTATCTTTCCGAAATTTCAGATAAAGATTTGAAGACTTCAATTCTACTTTTCATGCATTTACTGTATTATGCTGAAGAATATTTCCCACAGATCAGCAAAAAGCTTTTGTGGACCTGCGCCAGTCCGTGGACCACGTGTTGGGAAACACTGCTCAACGAAGCATCGATGTATCCGCTGAACGAAAAAAAAAGAATCCCAAATTCCAATTTCAAAATGAACTCACCGAAGAAGAGCGTTGAAAAGGGCAATCAGAGCTTTCTCTGCAACCACTGGGTCACTGTCCAATCGCACAATCTCAAACATAACGCCAAGAAACTTGAACGCAATGTCCATGCTTCGCGGACACAAAACAATGAAACACTTGACCGCCGCCAATCGAATACACTTGTCTTCGACTGCAATCTCGGGTATGACCATCTTCTCGATCAAATGTCCCAATCCCGGCGGGATCGGCGAGAATTTCTGGCGCGACAGGAATTCGAAAATAACCTCCAAACCGCGAACAGTGGCTGCAGGCGGGATTTCCCCCTCTTCTTCTGGGGTTTCCTCTGATGGCGGCACAACAACGGCGGCGGTTTTGGCGTCTTCGGCTGCTGCTTGCACCGCCAGTTCGGAGAGTTTCTCTTTTAGGGCCGTGAGCTCTTCGGTCAAAGGAGCGATTTGACTTGTATCCATTTCATCCAGCGCCTTCTTCATTCTCCTCTCAATTCCATACCTTTCCATTTCCAGTCGTTTTTTCTAAAATAAAAAAAACAGATAAAACCAACAATAAGCTTCCGGTTTATTTCCCTTCTAGGTCTGATGTCAATAGCTGGAAAATTAACTATGCTTTCACATAGGTGTCGCCTCAAATTATGAAAATGCCCGAGGGCCTATGATAGGTTAGGTTCTGTTAAACTGGAATAAATTCAGTTAGATTAAGCCGGGTAGGATTACCGGAGGATTTCAAGAAAGCAAGATCACGCGTTTGAAAGGGAGTGATATTTCCGTTTCTTAGAATCGAATTGACAACAGAGTACAGCATTATTAAAGCGCGCGTCATGTTGAACTATAGTGACCCGAAATGATGGATACTTGTTCGAGAAAATTTGATCAGCATTTCACGAATAGTATTTCCGCTGTTCACAGCAAGAAAGAAAAATCAACATTTTCAAAGAAAGGCTTTCCAAATACAGTTCGACTCTCAAAAACAAATTTTTCAGCATTAAAATTCCGCATACAATGTATTTTCACTCAATGCATAAAGCGATTGTCGAACTTAAAGTTCATGAAACGAATTAAAATTTATTGGTCCTCAAGTATGAAAAGAATGCCACGAACTTTTTTGTTGCAAGAGATTAAAATGCAATAATTTATAGAATTTCGAAAGAATTTTGTGATGAATGCGAAGAAATAAAGGAGTACCCTTGTTCTCAGGAGTCAACGCAAAGAGTACTAATTTCATGCAACTATCAAATATAAATGCGAGTGGCTTCACATTTTCTGGCTAAATTATCTTGATTTAGTGGTTCCAAAATTTCTCATACCACTTTCCGCGTGTTCGCAAACTAAGTCTTAAAATCACATACTTCACTTACATGGAGAAACAATCAGGCACACGGGATTATTCATCAATTCTGTCAGTTCTCTCAGAGAGATGCATATGAAAAGTTTTTATAGAGAAAAACGTCATCATTCCGAACCATTGCTTCAGTGTTTCCCACCCACTTCTAATGAATGGAGGACAAAATTTAAACTAGAGGAAATAAGATTAACTTGCTGCATGTTCATGTAAAATTTTAAATGTGCGGGCAGTCGAAGGACCACCATGTGCAGTAATTTAAATTTGAGAAAGCTCTGTGACAAAACCTCATTTTGGAGGATTCTAGCTCAGAAAATTGGGACACCTGATAAAATTCGTTCCGAAGTGAAGTAAAAAAAATTCAGATCATCTTACTTCAAGCAATTATGAGAACTCGGAGGGAAAGAATCTTCAGGGAAAAAACAAGGTTCTCATGAAAAAAAGCAACGCAAGAATTTTTTCTTCTAAAAACCTCGATTAAAAATGGCGTCTGTTTCGTTTTTCTTCTAATTTCCCAAAAATTCAATCATCAAACTGTTGGGATTTTCGGACAGATTCGTCAATAACAAAAAAGAAACAGGATTTTCAAGCCGGACTTTTTTCCTTATTCTGAAAATCTCGTTGGAAAAAAAATCGCATCTGTTCTGTTTCCCTTTTCTTCTCCATTCCAAAATATTCCATCATCAAACTGTTGACATTTTCGCGAAGATTTGCCAAAAAAGCAACGCCGAAATTTTTTCCCTTCTTCCAAAAACCTCGTTTCGAAAAACAAATCGTGTCTATTCCGTTTTTTTCCTTCTCCTCGCTTCATAAAAAAAAAAATCAATCATCAAACTGCTGAGATTTTCGGACAGATTCGAGGACGCGTTTGCGAAAGTCTTCGGGATTATCGCGGAGTTGCTTGGCCGCCTCCACGTTCGCCGGCGACTCCGTGTTGGGATCCGCCAGCATGGAAATGACCGACAGTAGAATGGACTCGACGGTATGCACTGGCAACCATCGCTCACTCGCCGCCTCGTAGCCCCACGAATCGTCGCCCGGCTCATGCAAAATGCTTATGCACACTTCCCCGTTGCGGCGGATGTTGGGGTGCCACATGTCCGACACGAATTTCATTTTCGGGGGCCGGTTCGGGTACTCCTGATGAAGCAGGGCTGCACTGCATTTATTTTTCATCTCATTGACTGGAGAAACACGCGCGCATGTTTTTATTTCTAAACTAAAAGCAGAAAAGAGGCTCATAAATTTTCTTAAATTTCAAGATATTCAGCCGTGTGCCATTTGAGGAACATTTTAAATCTTCAGCAAATTCTACAGAAATGATTTCTCTCTAAAGGATTAAAGCACCTGAAATATGACAAGACGATACTATAAATCAAGAAGAACCGAAGAACATTGAATTAAGGTTTTATTTAAGTCTAAATTCAATTTTCTGTGCACGTAGTTTACTCTTGCAAAATTACAAATTTTCATTGATTCAAAATTGGGGTGTGCGTCCCCCAATGTTCGAGAGCCCGTGGTCCTTGAATTACTGTACTTGAATAAATACAGGGATTTTCGCGAGAGCCGTTCAACATTGCGCACATGACACAAAAATGATTTCGTCATTACTTTCTCAATTACACAAGAACAATTGAGCAAGTTTCCCCTACTACCGTATTAACGCGAATATAAGCATCCCTCTAGATTTTTTCCACGCAAAAAATTAAAATTCGTTTATTAGGCGAATATAAGAACCAATTTTCTGTTTCCCAAAAAAAAGGGAAAAATGGTGTCACACAACCTTTCCTCTACCCTTCGATCAACGACTGGTGCATCTTGTAGTGCTAAAAGCGGACCATTTCTTGATTACTTTCAACTTTAATTTGAAAAGAACATAAAACAAGTCCTCGATTGTTCTGTGGGCCGCGAACATGAATATTTCATGATATAGACACATATTTACTCAGATTGCTTAAATATGCAAATATAAGCTCACCCTAGTTTTCGAGCTTTTAAATTTGAAAACGACGTGCTTATAATCGCGTTTCGCACGGATTGAAAAAAAATTTTCAAAAATTAAGATTGAAACAATAATTGCCTTTCCCAAAATTTTGTTCCTCTCTCTCTCACCTTGGAGAAAATGAGGTGGGCCTTGAAAAGCCCGCCATCGTAAGGGGTATTAGCTGGGCCGAATATGACAACCTCCCAGTGGTAAATGTCGCTGTCATCGATCAGACCCGCTGAGAACCCCTCGACCGGGTTACGACGCAAGTCACGAAGCTGCTTTTGCAGCAGCAACGCAGCCTGGTCACGACCACTCATAGCGCACACCAAAGAAAAACCATCGAAGGCAGATGGCGAGATTTATAGGGAGGCTAACGAATTTTATCATTCGTTAGTCACCTGCTTTTCCTCAGAAAACAATTTTCGTACCGTTCCTCATCAATCAGCTGAATTCGCAAAAAGGGAAAAAAATAGAATAAAAATATGGCTTTCGAATCTTATTTTCCCCTTGATTGATCTCCATAGTCAGCATCAATCTTGAAAAGGTTACTGTGCAGGTTCTTAGCCTGAGCTCTCAAGGAGAATGAAAGGGGAAATATTACATAGAATACTTGTAAATAATATTGAAACGCGTGAAATTTAATTAAAAAGACGAGATGGTAGGCCGAAATGCTAAGGTACAGGCTAACCCGCTAAGGCGCCCCCTCGGCAACCACAGATTAATTCTGAAAAACAAACAAATACTCTCTAATAATGATATCATTGGAAACCCCGTTCCGCCGAAATGATCAACAACTCAAATAAGCTATTAAAAATGGTGTCTTCAATACAGCGCTACCAAGATTCAAGGTTCTGAGAGAGGTCTCCAATAAAAAAAAAGAATGCAAATTAGACATTATTTACTTCTTGGGAACATCAGCTATTTATAATTTAAGCATCCCAGGGCAATTTTCTAGAAGAAACATTTTTATTTCCTATTATACTTGATTTTTATTAAATTTAAAATTTTTGAAAAACCAACAATCCCCCTTTAAACCTACAACCCCGTTGAACCGCCACAAGCCTGAAAATCAAATAGTGGCGGCTGTTCGAAGTTCGACTGAATTTTATTTATTCTCGACTGGGCTCCGCTTGTAAAAAACGGTGATAAACTCTGGGTTAAAGAGAATTTGCCATTCGTCTCTTATTCTTCCTTCTTATTTGATGATAAAAGCTGAAAAGTTCAATTTATTTCCATGAAAACACTCTGGGTCAACGATAATTTGCCGTTCGTTCTCCCTCCTTATTTGACGATAAAAGCTGAAAAGCTCAATTTATCTCCATGAAAACGAAAATACTCTTTTTTTGGCAATATCAGAGAACAGTAAAATTCTCTCGGTCGTAACTGCGCAGCAATTACCGACATTCAAGTCATACATTTTTCTTATTCGTCCATCACAATCACGAATTTGTTCCGTGTGCGTAGATGTCATTGGCATTCAAATTTTGCACTACAGTAAATGATTACAAATTCAAAATTATTCTTTGTTCCTTCTGATTTAAAAAAACTTTCGTAAAGCTGTCTATAAACTTTGATTGTATGGAATTAAAAGAAAGAAAATAAACTCCGCCTTCCCAAGAAATCCTGGAGAAACGTGGTCAATTTCTAGACGTCTTTAAAAATTCTGACTATGTAAAAACGGAATTATCAGCTCACATAGAGACAGTTATGAGCGGAGGTACATTCAATACGCGAGTTGAACTGGATTCTCAATTAATGTAATTGAAAGATTAGATCAACGCTGAAACTTCGTACTTGAAGGTTAGATCAACGCTGAAACTTCGTACTTGAAGGTTAGATCAAAAACCGCGGGATCACTAACTTCGTCATCAACATCATCATCAGCATCACCAGGAAAAGGTACATTCAATACGCGAGTTGAACTGGATTCTCAATTAATGTAATTGAAAGATTAGATCAACGCTGAAACTTCGTACTTGAAGGAATCTAGTTGCGACTTTGAAGCATGAACTTCCAATCTAGTTGCGACTTTGAAGCATGAACTTCCAATCTAGTTTTTGGCGCCCTAGTGATTGAAGCAGTAGTTGTAGTAGTAGTCGTAGTGGTCCTTCACTTTCAACCATCAATTCTGGCGGGGAATCGTTTCGCGAGATTTGGACAGGTGTCGCCGACAATTCAGCGGATTTTTCGCGATCACAGGTCTGTCAAACGAAAAATGTGGGTTCGAATGCGAGACCGTCGTAGAGGCAGGGATTAACTTCCTCCAAAAAGTAACGTGAATTTTATCGCTTTCAGCTCTTATGTTTTTTTGTGAAAGTTTGAACACATTATACAGCACCTGGAATTTCAGATCCATCGTAGGATCACTTTTGAGCGGCCTGGACTCGGTTTGAATGACCACAGGCACTGGATCCGGCCTCAAAGGCTTCCGGATATCCGACACAATTTCAAGCAGAAGTTCGTTTTGAGCTTCTTCTGTTTCGAATATTTTTGTCATCATGGCACACGCCGCTGGAAGAAAGGTATTTGGCAAATCGACATCCACCAACAGTTCCTTCAGCATTCCACACAGTTTGTCCCTGAAGATTTCCCATGTCATTTTACTCGGCGACAATTTTAGTGAATTTAGTTCAAAGCTCACCTCGCAGCAACGTCGGTGAAAGGGAAGAATTGCAGCATTTCCAGCAGGCAATTGAACATGAAATGACGTTCAATTTTTTCAACAAGTGCTCGTGAAGCTTCATTGTCTCGAACAGCTTCCACGTTGTTCAGTCTTTTTTTGAAACTAAATGCAAAACATTTTTCACTTCAAATTTTTTTTCTTCTAATTACACTGGGATTAAATTTGCTAAGAATTAAAATGAATTTAATTTGCTAAAAATTAATAAAAACTAATTTGCTAAGAATTAAAACAAATTTAATTTGCTAAAAATTATCATAAATTCAATTTGCTAAGAATTAAAATGAATTTAATTTGCTAAGAATTAAAATGAATTTAATTTGCTAAGAATTAAAATGAATTTAATTTGCTAAGAATTAAAATGAATTTAATTTGCTAAGAATTAAAAGGAATTCAATTATTTAAGAATTCAAAATCCATTTAATTTTTTACAAATCAAAATTACATTTAATTTGCTAGGAAGCGTAAGAACTACAGCGATTTACTCTTGACACTAGTAGGAATAGATTCAAGATAGTCGATATCAACTGATGGTTATCATTTATACTATCTCTTCATTTCATCTCGGCTTCTCGGGATGTCGAACAGGTGTCGCCTAAACAATTATACCAGCATAGCAACTGTATCCCAGCTAAAATGAACTATTCAACAGGACAAAAACGCCATTAACCCGAGGTAAGCTAAGCTAATTTAATTGACAAAATGGTACCTCGATCAGACTCAAGAATCCATGCCAAAATTCAAACAATACACAAATACTGTAGTTAAAAAAAAAAAAAATCCCCGAGCTCGGGACTTCCACAATTAAAGTTGAAAAAAAGAGACAAATCATGAAAAAAGTTCTTAAAAACATGAAATGCTCGTCCTCACTCGAAAACGTAATCCAAAAAATGGACTTCCAAAGGTTGAATTTGCTTCAAGGCTTCAAATAATCGCATCCTATTGCCATGTTCTGCTTCATTCCGGTTTTCTTTGTCCTCGTCTTCCGTCTCGGGCGCCTCTACAAACGGTTTTGGTCTAGTTTCTGGATCAAAATCCGGGAATTCGGATTCAATTTTGGCTTTCAGATATTCATAGGCTCCTTTCCAATAAAAGCACAATTCCGGTGTAAGATGATCGATTTTGATCACAGATTTTGCATCATGCAACACTTCTTTCACAGGCTCAATGATAGCCTCGGGCAAGAGATCCCTAAAAAATAGGAAAAAAAAAACTTATATGAAAATAAGGCATTCTTCAATAATCGGGAGGCCGTCAACGCATCGGTAAAAACATCATGAAAGAATAAGTTCACTTGAACTCTCGAACCCGACTTATGACAGATGACATTTAGATCTAGATCATCATGTCCACCAACTACCAACTGAATCTCACAGCCTCAGAAAACTTACTTCATGCAATCAGAGAGACTAACCTTAGCGTGGCATAAACAAACCTAACTCAGACATGAGAAAACGAAATAAAAGCGCAAAAAAAAAACTCACCCAAAATCAAAAGAAATTTCATTATTCCGTTATAGCGTTTACAAACTTAGCCTCATCAGACACAATTGACTAAACATACACTCATCTTTTTTAGATTTGCAGATGTGTTAAGACGTTCGGGCGAGAACAACAAAATGAGAAAAGAAAATCACAGAAACCAGGAAGTCGGATTTTACCGAAAATCATTTACAATGGGAATGAAAATCTAATAGGAAATGTTGACCTGTACAATATGACTAATAAAGAAAGAATAGAATGCGGAATGCAATCCGAACAATGATATTCGTCAAGAAATAAATCGCTCACTCGAAATAAGCCTTCAACGCATCTCGCATGATTTCAGGACAAGACGTCACGTCATTCTCCCGCAAAAAGTTCAAAATTCCCTTGTCTTCAGCTATCCATTTCTTCAGGACACGTTTCGAAAAACCTGATCTCACTCTCTCTGTTGATCCAACAAAAATGATGAAAATTTGAAAAAGCTTTATTTAAAAAATGTGTGTACTCACGCTCGATGTCACTCAGCCCTCGCTTCAAGATTATTTGACGATTCACAGCATTGACTTTATCGTAAGGGACATTGGCACCGATAATCTTGTAAGATGTCGCTCTTACGTTCGGATTAATGTCGGCTGTTCGAGCGATGATAACTAGCAGTGAACGGGTTCCCACTAAAAAAGTATGCAATGTTAATCGATAAAATGCCTTCATTCAGACCATCAATTCGATCTTCGCAGGGGAAAATGAGACGGTACCAATTTAAAGTTATTCCTTCTACTGAAACAACACCAAGCATAAATCTAGATGCTTAATTTTCGTGTTCGTGTGATGATAAGCAGCAAACCGGTTCCAACAAAAAACGCATAATTTTATTGATACAGAAAGACTCCTACAACGTTTTTCTCTGTACAACGTTTCGTTTGCAAATATAACTCATGCATTGAAACACAAGCGCAGCCTCTTAAATGTTTTGAACAATGGAGCAGCATTTTGAGTAGTGCCGGCTACAATCTTGAAAATTATAGGGAAGGGGCCAAAGGACAGATCAAGAGTCTTCTGTGTGCCAAATCTGGCCCATGAGCTGTATTTTGGGCAGCACCAATTTAAAGCTCTAGCACAAACAATTTTTGGTAGTGAGAGTTAAATTTTAATTCAGCTTTAACATCAACGTCCAGACCGTAGTCTCACATGGAAAAAATCAGTATGACAAATTTTAAAAATTTTGTCGACTGAAACATTTGCCAAAAATAATTCTAGACGTTTAATTTTCTGGGAAAAAGTACTTACTTTGCAATGAAGACAACGCCGCTCGGCGGACCTGCCAATTCGGATCTTTCTGACAATGGAAAGTGATGGCTTTGACTACAGGACACCCTCGGTCTTGCACATTTTGAAAGAATCGCAAAGCATCCATAGCTTCGCAACGCACTTTCGAATTCCTGTCACGCGCCCTATCCAACATCACCTCCGTCAGCAAATCAAACAATCCAACTTCCAAAGCCGCCATTTCAGACAAACTATGGCAAATCAACCGGATCAAACGAACGCCCTGCAACCGAACCCCGTTGTCTCTCGCAATGCAGATCTGGATCCATCAAGAAGAAAAAAAGCATGGGCGAATCGTAGAATATTTTTGATACAAATATTGAGAAAACGTACAGTTTTTGCGAGCCAAGGCAAAAGATGCAACTCAATGACCTCATGAACACCAACGTCGTTATTTGCCGTGTGTGAGCCGACGGCTGCGGATGCGACTTTCACATGGTTCTCCTGAAGGGCAACAACTAGTCGCACGCAAAAGTTGACGACGTTTAAAATATCTGCGCTTCTTGGTTCACCATTTACCATAAGACTGATGACCCATTTCAAGGCTTCAGACACCTGCTTCGCCGCCAACTAAAAAAGGAATTTCTGTGATCATCCGTCACAGAACTCCAAAGATGGTTCAGGAAAAATGCAAATTTCAATTCCGCTCAACTTTGAAACATTTTGAAAAATAACTCGTACTTCAGAACCAATCGCGGATCGACAGTGCTCGAGTTAAAAAAGGCGCCGCCAACAGCTAGACAAGTGCGAACACTCAGCACGGAAGAAACAAAAAAATGAAAAAAAAGAGGTATAAAGATTCAGAAAACTAATATTATCTTGAACAGAATTTGGAAGCCGAATGAAAGTAGAAAATCTTGAATGGATCTATACAGAAAAAAAAGAGAAAGATTCAAAAAAGTATGGATTTACAAATTTACTTCGCAATTCTTATCAAGTAGGAACATTTTATGAGAAAAATTTGTGATAAGAGAAATTTGGTACTGAGATCTAAGAAATGATAGTTCATCAAATTGAATTCGTACGTCAAATGATGGGCACGAAAATATTCATGAAGGAAGTTTATCCCAGGGATCTCTTGCCTTCTCACAGAAAAGAAGATTATTTCTCACAAATTTTTAGTTTTGCGCAATCGCTGAACATCCCTCCTGGCCCGGTTGTTGCCGTGCGAGTTGTTCGGATTACTGATCATTGTTAAGAAAATTTTTGAGAATCAAATTACTTTATAATGATAATATCAAACATACCTTATCAGCCGCCTTGATTAGAAAGACGATGTTTTTCTCATTCCAGTTTCCACGATGCTTGGCTTCTTCAAACGACCTTCCGAGGGACTTGAAGAAATTGTCCAGCTTGCATGCCACCATGCTTTCAATCCAACGGGAATCACAACCTTTCGTACTTCTAAAAACATCCACTACATAATTCAAAACCAAAATAAGTGTTAGGAAGCAGACGCTAAAACAAAAGCGCAAAAAGCAACAAATCAAGGTCAAATAAGACCACAATCAACTTTTCATATTGATTCGGTTCATTCACGCATTCAGAATTTTTTTTACATATCACAAACCACACGACGGGCGGAAAAAATCAATTTATATGATCGCACTCGTTCTGAAAAAAAAACTGACACAAAAATCAAATGGAAAATCCAGGGTAACCGGGAATAAGTGATGCCAAGATTCTTGGTGTTTCTTTTTCCTTAAAAAAAAAAGCGTCCAACTCCCACAGACACATCATATCCAGCCAGTGCACAACCGTTTGCTTTCGAATCTGCAACACAAATAAGCCCTGAAGTAAAATCACGTAATTTAAAAATTTGGAAAATATGCTGGAAAATACCTTAAAACTTGAGAAAAATCCTGAGATTGGGAAAAAGGGAACAATAACGGCAAAACCTCGATCCTGGTAGGATTCCTGCCGCAAAACAGCCATTACGTAAAACCGGTCCGTCACGCATTTTCATATCAGCCTTTCCGCACCACCGGCTGAAAGCTAAAAATAAAGTCATAAAATAGATTTTCCTGGACCTCTTCAGGCTTTAAAAACGAATTCTTCGGAAGTGAGTTATTTTCTTAATCAACTGCTGTAATAAAAAAAAACGGACCATACAATTTCCTTTCCAACGCAAAATAATCAAGAACTCTGGTTGACCACCGAACAAGACAAATAGTGAAAGTACATTTCGCTAGTGTTGCAAACATTTATAAATTAAATCTTCGTTAATATAATTGAAATCCAAAAAACTCACCTCCTCCTCCTTTATCATATCCCCGATTTCTTCTTCAGTCCATTCCACGGAATCTCGAAAGCTCGACAAGGCTGGCCTCGTCGGCTTTTCAGCCATTTCAAAGAAAAAGACACCGGACGAAAACCCACTCAAACCTCCTAGATGAAATACACACGAGCGTCTACAGAACATTTTTTTTCTTCAGTATTTCATAAATTTTCTCTCTTCATCAACCGAACACTATGAGTCATGCACCAATTCACTAAGAAAAACGAATATTTCGTGGAGTCAGTGACAAAAGATTTCAAAAATTTGCACAAAGCGATTTGGAACAATGAGAGGGAAAGAACGGCGATGAATTCTGGCATGAAGCAGATTTTTTCTGGGGCTAAGAAACCTGCTTGGTACCTGAAAAAGAGAGGGATCAGCAAAAAGAAGTTACGAGATCGTCACAAAAAAGTCCTCATCCCTCGAATGTCCTTCAGATTAAAGGGAATGAATCACAGAGGATTTTATCCTAAGAACAAATGTCCTTTCTTTTCCCAGGCACCAAACTCTCGTTTTGTCAATGGGAAGTTAAATTTGCATTCTATCAAATCATCATATGTTCAAGACTCCCCGGAATATTCACGTTTTAAACGCAGTCATCACACTGGACATGAAAAAATTGAACACCAAAAAGATTTACGCAATCTCGCATTCTTCCTTCAGCCACGTTCTTCAAATGATAATAGTATTCTAATCCCAAGATTCTATTCACAAAACTCCGGAATGGAAATGGCCCCGGCCATAAAAAGAGGATCTGGGTACGAGAGATTAGATCACACTAAATTCCCGAATCAAGTAAATCTGACGGAAACCCACAAGATTTTTCGAAGTAAAGAGATGGATTCGAGAATAAAATCGCGCCGTATTTGAGGAAAAGTAATCGTAAAACTGAGTTTGATCCCTCATGAACGATATATCGAAATGAAAGGCGAAAAGGGAGCTATTTAATTCCAAGAAAACAATAGCACAAAAAAGAAGGAATTACTTTCGTTTCGAAATTCCCGGTTCTCTTTTTATGGCCAAGAAGTATCCACAACTAAAACTAGTCCTTTGAAAAAAGCAAAAAAAAAAAAAACTCTCGCGCAAACGGACTTGGTTCGTTTTTTTTTAGTTTGTTGAAAGTGGGCGTGGAAAAAATCACAGCGTTTTCAGGCTTCCAGGTCGATCACGCGCACAACTTGGCTCGAAGTGAGCTGCAAGTCCTCAAAGGTAAGCCCGGCATCGACACTTGGATCAATGCCGTCGTCGGTGTCGAGCGGGTTGAAGTCGACCGGCACTTCGGCTGGTCGACACGGAATCGTGCGCTTCGGATAACTCGTCACCAGCTCGAATTCGGACGGTGAATCCGGATGACAGAACACGAAATAAAACAGCGCCTGAACAAGGAAAATCCAAAAGATAATAAATCATAGTACATCTTGAAAAGTTTGATTGAATCCAACGATCCGACATAAAAATGTTCGCCATACGTACTCTTGAGCAAACCCAATATTTTCTTCGAAATCTCAGTTTCATTAAAACATCACTAGGTTCCTTAAAATTTATTCCACTGATTTGTTACTATATTCTCTCTTTTCGAGTTGGAATTTCAAATGAGAGCGATTTGGGACAGCGACTTGAAAACCGAGTTCATCACAGGATAGTATTGAATTTCAAAAATCGAGATACAGCATTTTTCATGTCGAGAAGGAACAGAATTTGATCAAAGAATAAAAAAAAAACACATATAAATCTTAAAAATAAATAGTTTATTGGACCAAGGCTGAATTTGCGAATCCGAAGATAAAATCAGGTTTCCCAAGGGTTCCGAATAATTGACGCAACTCACTGATTCGGAACTCCATCCGAAAGAAAGATAATCGATTCAAATCCAAGGACTCTGAACACTTTTCTTTCTGAGCTCTTCAAGTGTGCAGAGATAAATTGCTCAAGACCATTCAAGATTCAAACAACCCACGTACGTCAATACTGTACTCAATTATTGATTCGGATTTGTGACACACGAACTCCATGCCATATTTTCCGCTTAACATCACGATAGAAAACGCCTCGAGTAATAATTAGAATACGAGGAAGTGGTTATTTTGTTTTGAAGCAGAATCATCTTTTTTGAAATGTTCAACAAATTTCACATATATGAACAATAATCAGCGATCCTGAACGGAACATAACACAAACGTGAAATAGCTTTTCAACCAGAACTATTTAAATTCATTAATTCCAAACATAATTTTGGGCGGAGAGGGAGTTCATAGGAAAATCTACTGCGAGGCGCAAGAGCAAAATCATTTAGATGTTGAAAATGTCGACAATCTACATTCAATCTTTCGACACTGAAGTTCAGAAATGTAATTTATTTTCTTCTCCATGCCAGATCTTAGTGCTCTAGCTTCGATTCAAGCTGTTATTTTACTTCCTCTGTAGTAGCCGCGGATTCCCTAGACTGCATAGAGCTTGAGTGCTCACGAGGATCCCTCAGGACTTCGCGAAGCACAAGTTCAGAAAGTCTAGTACCAACTCAAGTGTCGGTTCAACGATGCAAATTTTGTGCATCTAATTAATGCATCGCGTTACGGCAGAACTTTATTAATTGAAGCCTTGTTCGTATTTAAAAACTGAATCACAGCACAGTAAAAAAAAGTCAAGACAACAAAGAACTCACGGTAAGTTTGTGCTGCGGCAGAAAGCGTCGCATGAGCCGCTGCCCATTAGGCAAAGTCGCATTAATGGTAAACACCCCAGGCTGTTTCGCATCCGGTTCCGGCTCCAAACGACTGACAAAATCCACCTTCTGGCGCAGAATCAACGCCTTTCGATCCACTTCTCGCTTTTCCGCATCCAACACGGCTTGTCTTTCCATTTGCAGTTGTCTGTCTCGCTCTAATGACTCCTGATACGCTCTGTCTTGTTGGGCTCGCAGCTCTCGAGAAGCATTTAGTTCTTCCCTGCAAAACAAATTAAAAGTTTAGACTCTCGATGAAAGAAAAAAGTTTTCGTCAACTAATTAATTCTATAGTTCTCGTTATCGCAGGAAACAGACAGAAACGCATTAATTTTCAGGCACCCTGCCATTAATCCGGATAATTGTAAGTTCCATTTCGAACAAACTAACCTCGCAAGTCGAGCGGCAGTGAGATGAATTTCATTTGACGCGATTCCAGTTCGCAGGAACGCCAGGAACTTCTCCGGAGGAGCAGTGCCTTCGAGACGCTCAACAATAGTCATCTGGTTATTCTTCAAACAAACCAAGGCAACAAACGGATAGTCCGTCTCACGCATTATCTCAGAAACATTGTAACCATCGGTGGACGTCACCGAGCATCCGTAAACAAGCAACGAATTCGTGGTCAGGAAATCCACCACATCTTTGTTACACAAACTTTCCCTGCAAAGTCAAGATGAGATTGCATCAAGAACAAAGTGGACAGTTTTGAATAATTGAAAGACGTACATGCAAAATTTTGGAACATCTACATGCTCCGCACTGTGGAGGTAAACAATGAGAAATTTGAGCTCTCGTTTGGCTTGTTCGAGTGCTTGTCGATAAGCAAGGTCGACAAACGGAGGACACAAGCCATTCGTCACGTATTTCGCCCTGAAGTCCGCGATGAAGGCTTGGACGTCTTCTCGCGGATCCGGGCGTCTGTACTGCACTCGTAAGAACACTGAATTGAAAATCTGCTCCAGCAACTCCAGCATCGTTGTTACGATACTTCGAAATGTCCTCCAGAAAATCCTATAAGATCCGACAAGAGATAGAAAACGAATGAGGAAAATTCGATTCTCTTCCCACTCTACTCCGGAAAACTGAAGACAGAGACTGTCAAATTAAAACTGCTATAATCGAAATGATCATTTTTTGCAAAGCCAGCTAAAATTTTGACGAAACCAACTTTATTTTGGACCGTTTGGCATCATTTCACCAATACTGAAGCAATGCGTGGAATTTCAACAAGAAAAAAGGATTTTAATCACGCACGGCATTTTCATTTTGATTGAACGTATTCTTCTTGAAATGAATCACTGAAAATTTTGAATTTGGACTATAAAAGAGGTAAACTTCATTGACAAAAAATAATAAGGCTTATTTTTTGTTTAGGATTCACAACGTATTCAAACACACAAACTCACCGTCATCACTATAAATTACTTCAGACTTCAGTGATATTTTTTTAAAATCTGGGTGCGCGAGGAACACAAGGAATGCCAGCATAAATTTGTTTTCGCAAATCTTGTTGAGTTTCTTTGTGTGGAAAAAACCGGGATTCGAGATTATTCAAAAGGACAAACCTCACGGGCCAAATGCCCCGATCGTCACGAGGTCGATTAGGGGCCACACGCCGATTAATCTCTTCGACCTGTTGCCGGCCGATATTGCGGACTCGCAATTCATTTTCTTGAGGCTGCTGATAAACATCGCCAAAGCCGAGTTGTTCCTGAACAGCGTCTTCCAGTTGCCAGTTTTTCTGCTCCAGCAAAGACCTGCATCGCCCCAAATCACTGACGCCGGTAATTTCCTGGACAAACACAAAAAAGCACAAATTCTAGAATTTCCTGCTAGTCAATTACAAAATAAAAAAATAAAAACCTCACCTGAAACTGAATCAATTTTTCAGTTTGTTCAACGCTCAGTCCACTATCGTCAGTCTCCTCGACCATCATGTCAATGTCGCGATCATCTAAACCGCCGTCGATCATTGCGTCCACAGAATTTCACTTCGCCGCGGAAATCTAAAGATTTAAAGCCACAGTTAAGAATAAATCATCTGCAAGTCCAACACACGATGAATTCCACGTACACTCGTTTACAGCCATTTCTAATGCGGATGCAGCATCTCAGCGATTGAATGAATTCTGATATTAAAATTCTCATTCATAGTTTTAAAAATACAGTATACACATGGAAATCAAAAGTCTTAATTTTCAAATCTTGACCTTCCAAGGAAAAGGCTTTGCAATTATCCTCGTCGTTTTAAATTCATATAAATCGACAGAGAATATAAAAATGAATTGTCTGAAAGAAGTAGCCAGTTCATCTCGCAGAAGAAAAGATGGCATGACGAAAACGAGCTCGGAAACAAATTTTTGGAAACATTTCCATCCCGCCCAATGACCCTGCATTCTCTGCATGAAATCCACTTGCGTCAACGCAAAGACCACCGATCAAGAAAAAAAAAAGAAAATCGGCACGCAAAAGACGGAGGAGAACTTATCCAATATTGACAACGACCATTCGGGTCTAAAACAGAGCAACGGAACACTGGGAAGGATTTCCGCGACCAAAAAACCGCAACGGTTGAGTTTCAGGCAACAACAACGCAGTCAGAAATTCTTTTCCATTCCCCCGCAAAAAAACAAACTGCAATGGATTCTCAAGCAATTTCGTGCCCAAGGGTTTGAATTGAAATACACTTCCTCGCAGATTTTCTTCCTGCGTTGCAGTCCTTCATTCATGTTTCGAGCGACCGGGAACATAACATAACACCAATTCCGAAATAAAAATACAGCAAAAAACAATTCAGCTTGAAGAATTTCCGTTAATTTCAAAGCAAGTGTGAAGTGCGCCACCACATGAGAAGCGGTTGCGCGAATGCAGTGGCGCAAAGAAAATAAAACCGGCGTTTGTTGCCTCCCATGTGTTCGTCGACTTGTGGCATGATCTGCACTCGAAGCGCTCGTGACACTAAAAATGCCAAAGCTACACCTGTGTAAGCTAAAGCCGAGTAGTAACCCGTTGCACCCAGGAAATGTCCGCACAACGTTGTCACGATCATTCTGCAAAACAAAACAAAAAAGGTTTTCAGACCACAAAACATGGATAACGATAGTAACGAACTAATGCGGAGCAACATGATTTAATTTCCCTTATCTTCTTGATGAAAAAAAAGGACAAGAATCAATCGTATTCGCGCGAATGTATAATAAATAGCATTGATTCGAACTTTCTAAGCAACGCCCATGTTTCTCAGCCCGTTAAAATCAAATAATAAACCGCTGACGAATGAATGAGTGAAGGACGCTTGCATTGTTCATCTAAATCGATTAACCCTAGTAACACGTCATCTTGAACAGTTCTGAGATGCAAACGATTCAAAGAATAACTTGGATTGAAATAATGAACTTGCGTAAATAGGGGGAACTCGAAAAAAAAGGCGAAGAAGCGTTATTTACCTTTCAACAAACTTTCGTAAAATGAACTAAAATAAATTTTCCAAACTCACCCAACGTATTTATAGCCGCAATAAGCAATTAGGTCATAGGATGTGAGTCTAGACGGCATCTGAGTCAGGTAAATCACCAGCTTCAACAATAACACCTCGGCAACCAGCCAAATCAATGCTGAAGACGCATAAATTCCTAGTTGTTCAGGCTCAAACCTGAGAAGGAAAAATCAATGAGGGCATTAAATAGAAAAATAGTAAAATACACCGCATTTCGTTTACGGTGGACCAATGTATTGAAACAAATACATTATATATATACGTTTGTATGTGTATGCATTGAAACAGTAGATAAAAATGTGTGGAGGTGCCGGGGATTGAACCCGGGGCCTCTCACATGCAAAGCGAGCGCTCTACCACTGAGCTACACCCCCTCGATAGAAATTCCGTCGATTTTGGCTCAATAAAGATATTGGCCGAGTTCCGCGCTGCCTAATCCTTCAGAAAATAAAACCTGCAAACAAAATGATTTCTACTCCGCTTATACAACAATATGGTTAGGTTATCACATATGTTTTCTACCTCACCATTCACTGCAGAAACACCTTAAGGAAAACCGAAACCCTCCACACTTACAATAAAATAAATGTAGAGGTTTCCACTTGATACTACAGTAGTAGTACAGTACTGTATACAATAATACAGAAGTGGTACATGGATTGCCGATTTTTTTTTAAAAACCAAAACGTGTTCAGTATCGATTAATGGCGCCTTGGCTTAAAAAATCCGACTGAAATGTTAAAAACACATGATTGTTGATAATGACTGATGGATAAAACTGTGCATTTTGAGGTTGAAACTTAATCTTTGTACTGTAATGTATACCACTTTATAATGGTTTACTCTTTACGTGTGCCTTGAAGCCAAGGACGGCCTTTCAGAGGAGCCAATTTACACTTCGTAGATGGTAAATAAACAGCTGCAGTCTTCAAAAGGGTTTAACAATTTGTGGAAAAAAAAATTCTGCTCTAAAGTCCAAGCAACAGAAAATTTACTCATCTTGAAAACTACAATACAGTACAGTATTTGGAAATATTTCAGGGTCGCGCGGCACTCGGACAACCCCAGTGAGCAAACTTCTGCCATTGAATCGTCCCGTTAAAAAAAAAGTAAACCTTACCGCCCACACCACCAAAGAAATTGATCGAAAAGTACATAAACTGAAAACTCACTTCTCCTTAGCTCCAAGGACGTAGCCAGCGACGCAGATATACGTGACAAACGCCATGAGAGGAATGTACAAGTCCGGCACATTGACGTCGTGACGGGGCTGCACGGGTTCCGCATCCCTGTACTGGATCGTCCAGTTGTCGTGCGCGAAAGGGAACAAAAGCAGACCCAGTTTCTTCGCCACGCAAGTCGTATCCACAGCGAAATAGTACTTGAGCGACGACAACTTGTCGCGGTACTTGTCTAGGTGCTCGCCGACTAAATTCCTGCCGTACTGCGACGCCACACCCGCTACCATGGGGTTCTGCAAAAAGTCTGCCACTCCTCCCGGAAAGGCAGACGGGTTCGGATGCTGCCATACATTCGCATCTACAACGATAATAATAAAAAATACGATTAGGCCTGAATCGGAGTTTGTCAACCTCTCGGACACAAGGAACCCTTTATCACGAATAATATCTATGGAAAATCCCGATAAGTCTACCCCTGATCTAGAAATATTTGTCTGAAGAAGAAAAATAAAATTTCTTGGCCACTCTTGGCTTTGCTGGAACCATGCAGGGCTTACTAAAATATAATTCACCGAAACCACGAATGAACGCAAGGGTTGATGAGATGATACGATTGTCCCATTTACTTGGCCAAATTCAGCAGGAATCGAAGTCAATACCATCAAATCAAGAGTATCCAATGAAGGAAAAACCCGTCATGCGTCATTTAATTGTTCTACAATAAATACGAAGTGTCCTACTGCGTTTATCACAAATTTGCTTCTTTTATAAGGGGGTTAGGTTTCTAAAATGGCAACCACAATTAAATTTAAATTTTGCATCTAGGTTTCAACAGGGCCCAACTGCTTCCGGAATCCTTTGGGATTCACAAAGAAACGCTGCTAAATTAGACACACGATTGATTGGGTTCGGGGTGCACACTATGTTTGATGGAAATTTTCGACCAAATCAAAAGAACAAATGTCTTGCATTGGAAATAATTGAAAAATTTTTGAATTCAGATTCAATTTATGTTCAAATTTAAATAAGGGTGTTTTTAGTTTGTGAATACCGTATTTTAGTTTTAGAGTCACTAAAAATTGGGCGCGCGTCTCACTCTGGAAGACCTTTTTTAATTTCGCCTGAAAACCCTCGATTTTTTTTCAAAACTTAGAATGGCATTAAATTCTTTTTTCTCAAGGGAAATTTTTGACCAATCTTGAAAAAAAAACCTTTTGCATTCGATTTCGAAACAATCGAAAATTTGTTGGATTTAGGTTCAATTCATTTCTAAATTAAAATGTGGTCGTTCTTATTTTACTAATATTGCAGTTTTAGAGTCCCTAAAAATGGGGTGCGCGTCTTACTCGGGGGTACAATTAAAAAAAAAATTGACTAAAGAAACTTGGAGCGCGTGATACTCGAGCGGATAAAATATGGTTACAGAAAATTCGTTGAGTACTACTCACCACGAGACGGATCCAGGGTGGGATAAATCCCGGGAGCAGGCATTCGGTAGGCCTGAGAAGCATTCCAATCATTGTAATAAGTGTTGTCGTATTGTTGGGGATGCGGGGCCGCGTACGGAGCTTGATCCGCATAGGCCGGGTCAAAGGTGCCGGGCGGAAACGAACCGCTGGCGCGTTTGCGCGACTCCGAACCCGGGTACATTTTCACCACACTTCACTATTATCACACACACACTCACTTCAAACCATTCCTATCATATCCTTTCCAAAAAAAATAAAATAAAAAATTCTCATCGGCACGCAAAAACAGAATTTAAAAACAGGAAATTGACTGATGACGATCTCTCCTTTTTTTTAGGGCGATTCTTCAAATTCACGCCTTTCTTCCCTCTAAAGCTGCGACGGCCGATTCCTAAACTTTTTTCGGTTTTGAGCACCCTAAATACGACGGCTGGTTCACAAGTTCTGCTAATCCATCACATCCCATCAAGTATTTGAGTAGAACGATTTTTACGAGTAATATCCGTCTTTGACAACATTTCCTTACATTAAAACCCGAATGGAAGACAAAAGTTGGAAGTTCACCCGAACCTTTCTTGGAGCACAGGTTCATTTGTCACACTTGCACCTCCAATTTACCAGCAGATAGTCTGAGTTGCACCAGAAGTACAAAGGAATTGATCATAATTTCAAGGAAAAGACTTCTTAAATTTAGAAATTTCTGCGTCAGTAAAAACATATGAGGCACGGTTTGACTTGAATTTGTCAGAAAAGAGGAAATTTGAACAGCTTGAAACTTGGTTCAACTGATGACGGAAGCGATGCGAAGAGAAGCTCTCCCAAATTTAATTTCTTCGCTGAATTATTTTCAAGATACTGAAAAACCAGAACTAATGAACCAGACATCCCACGTCTTTGATAAATTGCTGTGGGAATGATCCACGAGAACTTGAGGAAAATCGCACGTCCATTCTTCGTCCCACTACGAAAACCATACTAAAAATCTCCCTGGTACCGGGAGCAACAAAGAATCACAGGTCGACAGGAAATGCTAGACGGCTGATTGGCAATTTTTGTGTCACAAAGCAAGTCGCTGAACGAGTAAGTCATGGTGCAGTTTGGCCAGTTTCCATAAATCCTGGGACAGCTCTTCGACAGTCGTATATCTCACTTTCCTGACGTTGAAAATGTCGTTAACGTAGCCCGAAAACTCGTCCTATAATTGAAAGGGTAAAATGACACGATTTATTTCCCACATGAATTGATTACATTAATGTTCTAAAGCTCACCTTCATTGCGTTGCAAATCTGATTCAATCGTATGTCAGTTCCTAAGAAGCCCCAGACGACAACTGGTGCCGCATGGGCCAAAAGGTCGTAATAGCGGGTTAAGTAGCCCTCTGGGTTTTCCAGAGTACGTTTCCTTGCCTTAATGATCGACCACAACGAAGCTGTTAAACCCTACGGACGAAACCCCGAAAATTAGCTTAGGAAATATCTGCGCGTTTCATAGCTTATCAAGATCTAGAAATTTTGATTCTGAACTAACCAATTTTTGCAGAACGTTTTGAATGCGTTCCGCATGACAAATTAGACATGCATGATTCACTAGAAACGTTGCTAAATATTTGTACCGCAGTTCTCTCATAAAGGACTTTTTCTTTTTTACTTCCTGTACCAGGTGATTCCATTCTCGAAAGAATAGAGACGCATCATCCAACCCAGAAATTATAAATTTCACTTGAGAATATATCGTCAATATCTGACCGTTGTTCACTCATCAACTTGAAAACTCAGAAGGAATAATAATAAAGAAAATGTGCAGACAGAGCAACTTGAAATTGCAAGAAAATCAAATTTACCTGCATATTCCATGCATTTCCACGACCAAGTTCCAATAAAATATATATATATTTACAGCTGGACTCCGTTTACAACAATATTTTCCGACAGCGATTTTTTCTGTACAGGTATGACGTATGACTGTACCCATGTTATAGCGGTTCTCTACAACGAGTTTTTTTGGTCCCCCGAATTTCGTTATGGAGTCCAGCTCTATTTCGAGTTCGCAAGTTTTGTGTTGATGGTACCGAAAGAAAAATTGCTGAGGAAGAAGTAATAAAGTTCCTCTGGTCGTGAATTCAGAAAAGCAGTCAAAGGCTTCAACTAGGTATTCTTACTGATTAGACAGTGTTTTAGGGATTTCTAATTTAGAAACTCGGTTACAAATGAAAGATTGATGCATGGATAATTCTTCGTACTTATAATGATGAAATCGAAATTTCGATTCAAATACATACCGATTCCTTGAATCTACTCGACAACCATCGGTTATTTGTAACTGCGAGAACGAAGCCAGGCGGTGATTCAATTTGAATGAAGGCCTCCAGCAGATTCTCGATCACAACATCAAAAAAAGTGGTAGCATAGTAACCCTTGGCCTTCAGCTCATAAGTCATAATTCGTCTACCATTCGGAGACATCAAGTAGTTGACCAACTCCTCGAAACTCATTTGCATTTCACGTGGATCCTAAGAAAGAGTACGAATGCATCCAATTTTGAATAGACTCTCAAATGAAGCGTTTCTTACCTTTTCGGCCCGCACGAAGAGATCAGAGAGAATTTGGAAACCAGCGTCAGCGAACCAACGCCTTGGAGTATCCTGTTCGAACACATACTGGAAACCGAGGCGTAAACAATGCACCTTGACTCTATAGTCGTCATCAGAAGTCAAACCGACTATTTCTGTGTAAAGTCCCCTGCATGAAGAAATTCATGATTAATTTACCGAACATGGATACACTGAAGTCAATATTTCGAACCTTGTTGGAATTCCGCTTTCTTCGTAAACAGCTTTCGCTAAACGATACAACGCCAACTTACCCGGTTCTCCTAAACTTCCTTCAACCTCCAGCAATTCGTCACTCATCTGGAATTGTAAGAGCAAATAAAATCAAGAAAACGTCATATTCGAGATATACTCACGTCTGACAAAGCAGAATGGAATGAATCACAACCATCCGAAGAATACGACAGCGTTCTCGTCATTCCTCCTTCCATTCGCGGGGTAGCCAAGCTTTCTTCGCGACTGAAAAGTAGGGAACCCTACGCAAAATGCAACGAGAAATATTAGAAACTTTAAATCAATGAAAAACGTTAAAAAAGGGAACAGAATCTTACCTCGTGAAGAAAGAGAGTTTCGCCGGCATCTTGCAAGTCGAAGGCTTTCTCCAATAGGACTTGGAGTTGCCGTCCCAGTTCAGCTTCGCTTTTGTTCGTAAGGGCAAGTTGTCCTGATCCTGTCATAGCTTCACGACTAAATGCTACTTCCGCGTCTTCCCAATAGCCAATAGCTGTTTCTAAAGCTTCTAAACCTGTGGAAGAAGTTTAAAAATTTTCGAATACCTGTATTAGAAAAACGGATTTAGTCTTGGAACACTCACCCAGAAGACCAAGCTGTTGAGCAGTACAAGGAGAATTTCCCACACCAGTGCCAACACTTGCATCTCCTGCAAGCATCGTGATCAACGTCGACGTCGACTTCTGATCCGAACAAATCGATGATGAGGTGTTCCTAAACTTGTATGCATCCCCACCTCCTCCACGAAACGAAAAATCATCTAGAAAAAAGTCATTTAAAAATGCTTAAGTCTTCAAACTTCTGAACATCAAGCTCGAACTCAGGGTCTCAGAAGACGTTTGAACCTCTAAAATCATAGGAGGCTTTTGAGTTCTTAAAGTAAGCTGCTATGCTGACATATAACAGATGTACTTCAATCACAAAGGGGCCCCCGATTCATGAATTTAATTTTGAACTACGGCATTCCTCATCCACAAATCGTTGGGATCAAGAGCAGGTGCGAATCTAAGAAGCACCCCGACCAATCCTGGCGGAACCAAATCGCCTTAAGCACCAGGAAACACTCAACTACAATAAATCAACCAACCTTGCGCTACAAGACGTCGATAGTTGCCACGAGTCCTCAACGAATTCCCCCGATTGTAGTAAGGCGATTGACCAGGACGGGGTCGTTTCGAACGCTTCATTTGCTGGGCAATAATAGCGAGGAGAGCCAGACAGACAGTGGCCGAAAAAACTGCTGCCTAGAATTGCGATCATGCGAAATTGATTTGGTCATAAAAACACGATCCTCAACTCAAACCTTGTGAGGCCGGCTCAATCGAAGAAGATACACCCACCCAGGGTGGACCACGGATTTCACAGAAACGACCAAATCCCGCCATGAGCACAAGATCGCATCCATCCGCTGACACTCAACTCAACTCAACCACAACCCACTCCACCTGAGACGTCGAACCTCCAACATCCTCAAGAACCACGCGACTGATGATTGCCACCAGTTCGGATTTAGGGTAGTTTTTTGAGAACGCGAGGGATACAAAAAACACGGGACAGAGCGACATCTATTTATGTATACGTATAATTGTCTAAAACGTTTGTATAGGTGTCGCTTGTCTGCAACAGCTTTCCAGAATTCGGCAGGATTTCGTTGCGGAATATGCGGATATCCTGTACAAAAAATTGAACTTTGCTCTGAAGAATCTGGATTTATCTCGACGTGAATCTTATAAGGATTTGTTCAGTTTATATCATTTCTTCCATCATTTTAAAGCTAAGAAAATAAGACACCTGCAGATCATTGAATATATATACTGATGTATATACTGTATATATATATATATTTATTTATTTATTTATTTATTTATATGCTACATACAATATGTATCCTAGCATCATCTTCAGCATGATAATTTTATTTTTTGTAAAATAATGAGATACAGTACAACGTTATTCAATTTCCATTCATTCTCTTAATATAGAGGCAAAGAACAGCTGAGCATTATTGATTGTATCAATCTTGAGCTCGCAGACAGATGCAACCCTGGAAAGAGACACACACAGCACTTTCTAGTTTTCTAGCTCTCTTTCTCTCTGGTTCAGCCCATGATACCCGCACGCAGCTTCTGCATGCTGGTCTCGTCAACATTGGGGGTTTCAATAGTCAAGTGCATATACACATACCTTATATAATAATGCACAGTTATTTTTGGGCATTTCCACTCACATTAACTTGCTTCAATGCTGAAGAACGAAACAATACTGTATGTGATGTCTATGCAGGCATCAAGGTAAGGAAAATTGAAGTTTTGCCTATATAAACAGACCCAAAAAAGTGCTGATTCTTATAGGTAGCGCTAAATATTGCATCAGCAAGATAAAAAAATAAATACAGAGCCTTTTGGAATTTCTATCACACCGTGTTATTCTTAAATTCGTGCATAAATTCAATATACATTTCAACAATAAGTAAATATTACCCAAATTCTGTCTCTCTTTTCTGCGCGTGTTCATATCATAAATCACTTCTGTGATTTTCAGAAATAATGAAGCGCACAAAGTGACACAGCGCAACACCATAATCTTTGGCATATAAAGGCTGATGAAACAATTTAGACCCATCAAACAGTAATATTATCCACAGTACTTAATTATTTTTTAGACAATACAATTGGAACAATGCAAAATTGAAGGTCATTAAATTTTTTTAACACACAAAGTTCAGTGACGAATTCAAAATTAGAATTAAGCAGAATACAAGTACTGCTGTAGTCATTTTCAAGAATTATCTGACTTTATTCAAGCATCAAAACTATTTTCCCAAAAATACAAGTATTGATAACATACGCCCATTGAGATATAATGCATGTGCTGGATCGCAAATTTATTCAAAAGAAGCACCTGCTTGACGTTTACTGCTCAAATAAATTAATATAAATTCACTTCAAAAATCGGTTATAGCAAATTTCTAAAAGAGGAGGTCGCATGAATATAGGCAATTCAACATGATTATTAAAAATAAAATATTCGAAATTGAATAAATAAGAAAACATTTAATATACGAATTCAAAAAAAATTAAATGTATATAATTCAATTGATGCAATTGAATATATTCAGTTTTATTTACAATTCAATGTATTAATTTCAATATAAAATTTAACACAAGTATAAAATTCAATGCAAATATAAAAATTAGTAAAAAATATAAGTTTCAATGCAAATATAAATTTATGCAAATATAAATTTCAATGCAAATATAAGATTCAATACAAGCACAAAATTCAGCAAAACAAATGTAGAATTTAATATCTGAATTTTAATAGTTGAATATACTTTTTACAGCAAAAGAAAAAGACCCCACGAGAACTTTGGGAAGGACCCCATGTATTCCTGGGAGTACTGTATATCTTGATAATGCGCGCGCAAACTGAGAGGGAGCCATGGAACCAGTTTCTGCTGCAGCTCCTTTCATCTGGCCCAACTCTCCCCCTGCATGCATCAGTTTCCCTCTTGGAAAAACTATACTGTGTGTCTTCGAGCAAGGACCTCCACTCTGTAGATTCCCTGCTGCATGCATGTTGGCGATGAACCACAGCAGGTCATACATAAACCAGTGTCCAACATTTTCTCTACAAACTGTGTGTCTCATCAGTTTGGCCAAGTTTTGTTTTCTCTTAATTTTGACAGAATGATGGATCCTGGGGGAAACATTTACTCCTTTATATACAAGATTCAGTTCATCTCTTGTATAAAATTTTGGCTGTCTATATGATGAAGAACAACTTTCAGTGTGCAGACATTTTGATGAGCAAAGTGCAAGTAACCACAGCAAAGTGTTTTACAGTACTGTATATTCAAGTGAACTCTCTCTCTATACAATGAAACTCAATGGACCAGAAAAATTAGTTGCTGAGAGAATTTTGTTGTAGAGATGAAGCCCTAATAAAATGGGAAGAGAGTCCCATTTGACCACAACAATTGTTGATCAGAGAAAAAATCATTCCAGAGAAGATTATTATATGAGATAGATGGATAGAGAGAGAGAGAGGAAGTCCTCCTGTACAATCTAGTGTCAATTTAATAGTGCATAATTTTTGAAGTGTTATTTTGTTAAAGGGAATATTCCAGGGAACTTCTCAGCTGTAAAAAAATTTAAAAGTTCAAGAAGAAGAAACTGCATTTTTTCCCTATATATCTTCTGTTTTCATAGCTGTGAAGAAACACAGAGCATAGAATGCTGGCCGGGTTATTACAGTTGGAAAAGCATATTAGGCCTCATTTAGCAAAATTTAGGAGGACTATGTCAAATAAGTGAGTGGCAATATATCTTCATCAGTGACATGGAAGGTAGGACTTCCATTGTTGCAGTTGCTTTATGCAGCTTCATTGCACTGGTTTTTCTGCAAAATGGTGAGCAGAATTTTTTTTCCATGCAAGAGCTGACCTGCAATACTTTTTTATTTATTTGTATCTACAGTTGGAGCTTCTGAGGATGAAGAACGACTGGTCAGAGATTTATTCAGAGGCTACAACAAGCTCATCAGACCAGTTGAGAACATGACACAGAAGGTGGAAGTCAGGTTTGGCTTGGCCTTTGTTCAGCTCATCAATGTTGTGAGTATAAATCTGATCTACAACCACAATACAAAATGTAACCCACATAACCACAATGCAATTTTTTCCATAGTCAACCACAAATTAAATGTAGTTATCCCAAAACACAATATGTCCTACCATATAGTACTATAACTTGATATACATGTGATCCTTAAACATAATATGCTTTTACACATAAAAAATGCACTGATGACTATGATTCAATGATTTCAGAATGAGAAGAATCAAATCATGAAGTCAAATGTGTGGCTTCGTCTGGTGAGCCATCAATTTTTTTCATTGAAAGAAATGGTGATTGAAAACACAACTATTTTTTCATAAGGTTTGGAATGACTATCAGCTCAGGTGGGATGAGGCAGACTATGGAGGCATTGGAGTGCTCAGATTGCCTCCAGACAAGGTTTGGAAACCTGATATTGTCCTCTTCAACAAGTGAGCAAGACTGACAAATACTATTAATTTCCCTTGAATCATAACAAATGCATATTTTTTCAGTGCTGATGGAAATTATGAAGTAAGGTACAAAAGCAATGTACTGATTTTTCCTCATGGGGAAGTTCTTTGGGTACCACCTGCAATTTACCAAGTAAGTATTGTATCATTCTGTATGCTTAAAATATCATTTATGAACTTCAATATGAGGGTTAAATCGCAGAAAAATACCTTTTGTCATTTTATTTTTTTACTCATCATTTGCAGAGCTCTTGCAAAATAGATGTCACATACTTCCCATTTGATCAGCAAACATGCCTGATGAAATTTGGCTCATGGACATTCAATGGGGATCAAGTGTCACTGCAGCTGTACAATGACAAGGACTTTGTTGACCTGTCTGACTACTGGAAATCTGGAACATGGGATATTATTGAAGTGCCAGCTTACCTGAATGTTTACAACAATACCAGTCCCACAGAAACTGACATTACCTTTTTCATCACGATAAGACGCAAGACCTTGTTTTATACAGTTAATTTAATTTTACCCACTGTTTTGATCTCTTTTCTATGTGTACTTGTGTTTTACTTACCTGCTGAAGCAGGAGAAAAGGTCACCCTTGGGATTTCCATTTTACTTTCACTGGTTGTGTTCTTGCTGTTGGTCTCAAAAATCCTGCCTCCCACTTCTCTTGTCCTGCCCCTCATTGCCAAATACTTGTTGTTCACCTTCATCATGAACACAGTGTCAATCTTGGTAACTGTAATCATCATCAACTGGAACTTCAGGTGGGTATTAAAAAATAGAAATTTTCAAGTTTGAAGACAGTTTAGCATTTTAAGGTTTTTTCTTTCAGAGGGCCAAGAACACATAGGATGCCAACATGGATAAGGGTTGTTTTCTTGAAATATCTTCCTTTGTTGCTGGTGATGAGAAGACCAAAGAAGACTAGGCTGAGATGGATGATGGAGGTTCCTGGGGGAGGTGGAGTGCCTGCTTATGGAGCAGGATCCCCTGTGCTGGGAAAACCTCCTTCAGGAGGGTTTGGGAAAACCAAGGTGGAGCTAATGGAGCTGTCTGACATCCATCACCCCAATTGCAAGGTTTGGTTCATTCAAAGCTGACACTTGAAAAAAAATGAGATGGATTCCTGTAAAAGGACTATAACTTAATTTGCTGCCTAAATTTTTTTCAGCTTTGTGTGCTTTCATTTGAGTTTTTTGGTGGATGAAGATGTACTAGTATATCACTTTATTTTCTGACCCCTGCCTCTATTTTTGATTTCTGAGAAGTTTGAATTTGCAAAAATTCACAGATAATCACCTCATCATGGGTATCAATATACTCTTTTGAATGTTCCTTCAAGCTGCTGGTAATTTATAAGAGCGCATTTAGAATACAGTGCAGTAATTAAATATTTCTATGAGACCATGAAAACCCAGATAGTACAATCCAGTGATACTTTTTGCTGATTTTGAGGTTACTGTATATTCATTCCAAATGTTACTGTTGCCCTAAAATGTTGATTATTGGTGAGTGAGAAGTCACAAAATGGAAGTATTAAATTGAAAAACTTACTTATCAATTGAACAGGTATGTGCTTTTTTGAAAAAGCTTCTATAATAATGATACCAAATTGGTTTGAAAATTGTATACCACAGATCAATCAGGGAAGAATGCCTCTGGGAGATGAACTGCCCTTTCCACCACCTCCACCTCCATTAGGAAGAGCAGACTCAGACAGTTCTGACTCTCTTTTCATGACACCAGAGGCTTACAAGGCTACTGAAGCAGTGGAATTCATTGCTGAGCACCTGAGAAATGAGGATGAATACATTCAGGTGATGGCAATCTTAAGCAGCTGCTGCATTGGAATTGCTAATGACCAATTTGGCCATTTTTAGATAAGAGAGGACTGGAAATATGTGGCCATGATCATTGACAGACTCCAGCTGTACATCTTTTTTGCTGTTACAACATCAGGAACAGTGGGAATATTGATGGATGCTCCTCACATCTTTGAGTATGTTGACCAAGACAAGATCATTGACAAGTACAGAGGAAAGTAGTGGATCTATTGAGGGAGCAATGTATAGTGGCCCATGCAGAATTTTCTTGTATTCCAGTCATTCAATCATTTTTCCAATGCAGGTCAATTTCTTGTAGAGATTAGGATTATATATAGACTTAAAAGTAAGACAAATTTTGTAATTAGTAACTGAAAAAATTTTTTATCTTCAACCATTCTTGTATTGCCTGTTTACAGTATAGGCAAGCTGTCTTTGATCATGCCCTAAGCTTTTTCCTCAGACAATTCTAAAAAGATTTAGCCACTAACCTCATTGAGCGAAAAAATTGCACTGCAGTATCATTACAACATTTGCAGAAAATTGCCAAGAGAACTGGAAAATCAAAAGTTTGCTCTTTGGATTATTGCCAAAATTCTGTTCTCAAAACATTTTCTACAGAGGAAACACAGGAGCTGGATTATGAAAAAATGAGCTTAATTTTGGTTTGAAATCCTAATTTTGAAGCAAAATACAACCATTCACCAATGGAATTGATGGAAACTGTTGCCAAAAACAAATCCGCATTGTGAGTGAATTTAGTCAGTGTGCCGCAATACCTGACATTGAACTTCGCCATTTTCAGAAGCCCTGGCTTCATTTTTTGTGTGTTTGAATATAGAAAATGAAGTCCTTTTGATCCCTGTGAAGATATCCTTCATGATGCCTTTTGACTTGTGATTTCATGCTGATTTTTCTTCCTTGACACTCATGAGCAAGAATCACCATTTTCCATTTCCATGATAATAAGTACAGTACTGCTGTAGTTCAATCACTTAGTTTGTTTAGGACATACAGTATGTCATCTCAGCCAATTTGATTGGAGAATCAATTTATTGAGTGTTGGAAAATCCTCATGGCATTTCTTGATACATTTGATGGTACTGTATGTGTCTATTATAAATACAGTATATATACAGTAGGATATTTTTAAAACTACTGTAATGCCTAATTGAATTTACATAGCAAATTATTCCTCTCCTGACATTTGTATTTTAAGTCCCTGCCCAATAGTCACAATTTCTCTTGAAATTCTTTATAACCCAGTTTTTGTTATGACTAACCTTTTACCTTGTTCCCAAAGGCTTTATTAATTGTAGTTAGATTTTACTCTATACAGTGGCCCCCCGCCTAACAGACCTCCCGTGTAAGGGAT